GCAGAGAAGCAGAACCCTGAGGGCACAGACGAAGCGAGAGAAGGTGCTGGAAACACAGTCAACAGCTATGGGGAGAGAAAGGGCAGCTCATGAGGGGAGGCAGGTGGAGGAATATTTATTCTTCCCTTCACGTTAGAAGAGGGAAAGGCTACAGGAAAGAGGTGTGAGACACTGAGACCACATGGGCACCTGCCAGAGGGACCCAGCACGGCAAGGAAACAAGAGGGGAGAGGGTCGGGGAGAGGAGCCAGGGCAGCATGTCCACGACAGATGCTGAGAAGCAGGTGTGAGGCCTGCGAGAGGGACACGGGGCGGGGGGTTGTGCAAAGTGCTGGTGACCAGCAAGGAGCAGGCAGAGCCCAGCTGGAATCAGAGAGCCAAGTGGTCCGACAGGGGAGGTGGGAGAGGCAGGCCAGTCCGGTCCCCCAGAGCCAGCTGGAAGAGCCCAGGGGCAGGTGATGGGAGACTGGGACAGGCAGTGGGAAGGCTCCAGTGACAGCCCCGGGACAGTGCTAGAAGGGAAGGCCCCGTGAGTTACACAGGGTGAGGGGTGACAAGGACGGCTAGAGAGGACTGCACTGAGGGCAAATCCAGAGGCAGAGAGACAGAGAGCAAGAGAAAGAAAGGCAAAAAGAGTGAGCCGAAGGCCCCGTCGGAGAACATCAGAGCTGGACAGAAAGAGGACGGGGAGATGGGACAGAAACTTTGGAGACAGAGACAGCAACAGAAACAGAGGCAGAGAAGGTAGGTGCAGGGAGATGGACAGCAAGATAGAGACGGTCTCCCAGGCCAGAGAAAGAGGAAGGAACAGGTGGACAGAGAGAAAGAAGACAAGCCCATGCCGGGAGCCTGGTGCGCACTCACATAGACAGGGGAAGCGACAGGCAGAGAGACCAGCACGGCCAGCGGGAACTGCAGACCAGGCGGGGCTCCTACCCGCAGCTCAGCCAGCAAGGCTGGGGACCGGGGCACAGCAGCCTCACTTCTCCCCAGGATGCCTGGGGACACTGCTGTCCTGAACTTTTAACCTGCAGGGCAGGGGGTGTAGGCAGAGCGCTCTCAGCCTCAGGGGGCCACTCCTGAGGGGCACATGGCCCCAGGGCCTGGCCAGGACAATTCCTGCAGGCGTCAGCTCAGGGAGGAAGCCCTGGGCTCCCACTGCAGGCCCCACTCCCTGAGGACCTCAGGCCGTGCCCTCTCCGGGAGCCAGGCCGGGCTGGGTGCTGGAGGCTCAGCTGGGGCGGGTATGGATCTGTGCTGGGCTTAGACGGGGCCCCAGGGCAGGTCTTTCCTCAGCTGCTCCTCTTTCCCCAGGAAAGGAAAAAAAATGAGGTGCCCTGGGAGGTCTAGGGTGAGAAAGACCATGAGATTGTGCTTTCCCCCTGCCAGGTGGCGTCCCCAGGGCTGTTTCACCCCTGAGGCTCTGCAGGTGGGGTCCTCGAGCTTCATAGTCTACACACGTGTGGAGACCTGAGAGAAAACATCATGGGCTCATACATGGGATCCTCTGCTTGCCACGAACAGATCATTAAAAAATGGAGACCCCCCAAATAGAAATTAGTGTTTAAATGACCATTAATTATACTATTTATCACTTGGTCAACTACGTACAACTCATTAAATTCTTACGTAGTTACACAGTAAGTGATATATTAATTATACTTAGTGTGGAATATGTATCTTATAAAGTCTGGTGTCCATGGAGGTCTTAAAGTACCCAGCAGCCTCTCGGGTCCCGGCCCTTTTAGGGTGTGTTCTGGCACCTCCGACCACCTGGTGAGGGCCCCTACCTGGAGAACAGAGCAGGACAGATGGGGCCAGAGCTGCAGTGTGGAGGATGTAGAGAGAGGCCACAGGGAAGACCAAAGGGGAAGGGAAGGAGGAGCCCAGTGTCGCCTGAGGGCAAAGGAATCTTTGGGCTCCATCCGTTCTGAGCCTGAGGAGTCCACTGGCTCACAGAAGTCCCAGGGACACTCCAGGGAGACTGGAGGCATATTTGGAGCTTGGCCCAATGTGTCACCCCAGGAGCTAGGCTGGGCTTGGCAGGAAGTCTGGAGCCAAGGACAGGCACGGGGAGCTTCTAATGGGAGCTGAGCCCACGAGCCTGGGCTCTGGGTCAGGAGGGTCTGCAGGCTGGGCCACCTGTCCCCTGGGTGCAACGGGTGTCAGCAAGCCAGAGCTGGGAGCCCTGAGCCTCACTGCTCCCTGCACTCCGGAGGAAGTGCCCGCCCCCTCCTGCTTCCTTGGCAATTCCTGCAGCCACACTGAGGGCTGGGCATGTCCTCCACAGTGACAGGGCCTTTCCCTGTTCCCTGCTTGCCTGATTCTCACCCCAGCAGGGTCCACGGCAGCACTGACTGGCCATGGAGGCCTCTTCCTCCAGCTGAGGGGACCTCACCATTCGGTGGTGTCCATGTCCAGTTCTGTCTGACTGAGGCTCTCTCAGGCCCTCAGGGTCGGAGGCCTTTGCCTGCCCCACAGAAAAGCCCCCACACCTGTTTCTTTTCCAGCATTCTCCTGGACCGGCCTGGAATACTCTCCCTGGTAGCCCAGCCCCAAGCACTCAGAGACTTTTGGTCTGTGACCCCTCTCCCTTCTCAGGTGGCAGGGCCTGAATTCAATAACCAAGCTCCGCAGGCCAAAAGTGTGCACATGACTGCCACAGCCGTCTTTCTGAACCACAGCTCTGACTTTCCTCTTCCCCTGCTCAAAAACCTTCACGGGTTCCACCTGCAGACATCAATCTCAGGCTCTGTCTGGCAGCCCCAGGCCTTCCTGAGCTGACTCCCGCCCAGCTCTCCTGCCTCCCGCCTGCAGTCATCTCATCGCATCCAGGCAGCCAGGACCGCCTGCAGATGCCCCGCCTCACACTGCCTCCTCAGCCTCGGATGCCCCGTGCCGCGTGCTGCCTGGGAACCTCCCATGTGTCTTCAGTCCCCAGCTCCAGTGCTCCCTTGTCTGTGAAGCCCTCCCTCCTTACCTCGGGCATGCCTCCCTTGCAGTCACCCACTCTCGTGCCCTGCCCAGCTCCTCCCTGACACTGTACACCCACCCGCCAGCTCTTCCAGGATCGCTCATCCTCCTCTCTGTGCTGTGGTGTCACTGACTGATGATTCTACAAACACTCGTAGGTGCTCATGGTGTATCAGACATGACTGGTCACTGGAGACAAAACATGAACAAGACTGGGTCCCTGCTCTGCCCATGAGGAGCTTGAGGACTGGTTGTGGGGACGAACATGGGTCTAAGTGTCCCACAGGCCTGAGGAAGGACACACGCTAGATTCTGTAGTGACACAGAGGATGGTCCCTGACTCTTCTTCTCTGAGAGATGTGAGAGTTCACAGAAGAGCCAGTATTTGAGCTGGGGCTTGAAAGAAGAAGAGAAGTTTGGCAGATGGAGATGACAGGGAAGGGCAACCCAGGTACAGGGAACAGAATATGCCAAGAAACAGAGAAGGGAAAGAAGATGGTCATGAATTTGCCCCAGGCCATGAGAGGGCAGCAACAGCATAACTTAACATTGGTGTTTCCAGTGTCTATCGCTGGGCTTGAGGAAGAGGAGGCATCAATAAGTATGGAGGAAATAAATGAATGAGTGGCGCATTTGAAGGATAGAACAAAGTTTGGTGTGAACAGAGCTTGAAAGATGTTATCCGTGGGGCACAGGATCCTGGGAGGGCAGGATTCAAAGAAAACAGGGTTGGAATTTTCTGTTTGACTGCATTGGGGACTCCCCACTAGATCTCCAGTCCCTGAAAGCTCCTTGGAGCTGTGCAGTGGCCTCTGGGGGGCGCTGGCGGCTGGCTCATGTCCACAGCCCAGTCTCAACCTTGCAACTTTCTCCCCAAGGACTGCACACTTCCAATGCCAGAAAGGTAGGAAACATAATTTTCTAGCAAGAGACCAGATAAATGGTTTGACAAGGGATTTGTGTTTCTGATCAGCAAATTCATTTATATGGAAAAATAGCTGCCTTAATTCCTTTCTGGAAGGAGGCAGAGTGTGAAAAAAAAAAAAACAAATAAAAATAGGAAATACTTTACAAAAGTATACAAATTAAATTCATTCAAGTGTGCATGTAATGAAATACCTTATTCCTTATTTAAAACAATACAATTACCCAAATCACTGCTGTCCTGGAAAACCTAGGAGAAGTAGTTTCTGTCCATAACACAAGATGGAACTAACCGCAGATGACTGTCTGCAATGTGCCTCGACATGTATTTTCTCATTAAACACTCACAATCCTGAGCAGGCATTGTTATCCCTGTATACAGATGAGAAAACTGAGAGCTGAGCCACAAACCTTGCCAGCCATTCTGGCAGATATCAAACTTTGGAAGAGGAGAAGAAATGGGGGTGTCCAAGGACAGCAACGACAAGCTGTTGGTGAAGCACGTGGCACAGAGGAACGAACACAAGCTCTGATATCAGACGCATTTGAATCTCTTTCTGCCACTTGCTGGCTGTGAGGCAAGTCGGTTCAGTCTCTGTTTTGCCTCATTTACAAAGTGGAGGTGCTGTCACCTCCCAGACAGGGTTACTGTGCGAATGGGATAATGAACGCAGCGGTTGGGTAGCGTGTGCTTCCTTTAGGAGATCTCAGCACATACCATGGCTCGTTTGGAACAAAGACAAACCTGGAAATTTGCGCACTAGGGAGAAAACAGCTGCTAACAGCCCCAGGAAGACTCAGGTGGGTCAGAACTGTTGTACTTTACAGTACCAAATGAACCCCATCCATTCTGCTCACGACTGTGGACAACTCTGAAACATCCCAGTCATTGAGCTGTCCCTCTGTTTCCAAGTACTTTCAGAAAGGCCACCTTTACATCTTTGTTCCTGAGGCTGTAGATGATGGGATTGAGGAAGGCAGAGACAACGTTGTAGAACAGTGCCAGCTTCTTGTCCTGCTCGGGGTCATACCAGGACCCGGGCCTCATGTACATGATCATGGCTGGCGCATAGAACATGGTGACCACAGTGATATGGGTCACAGCACATGTGGAAAAGGACTCGAGCCTCCCCTGGGATGAGCGGATTCTGAAGATGGAGGCAAAGATGTGCAGGTAAGAGGCCAGGATGAGGGAAAGTGGGACCAAAAGCAGGATGAAACCCAATATGAAGTCCAACTGGTCATTGAAGGATGTGTCTGCACAGGCCAACTTCAGGACAGCAGGGACCTCACAGAAGAAGTGGTTTATCTTGTGGGGGCCACAGTAAGGTAGATGCATGGTGAAGTCAGTGTAGACCAGAGCCCCAACTATGCTAATGGACCAACACACTATGACCATCTTGATACAAATGGAACGGCTCATGAGTAGGGTGTAGTGAAGGGGGAAGCAAATGGCCACATACCTGTCATAGACCATAATGGCATAGAGGACACACTTAGCAATGCCCAGAACCAAAAAGGTGAACATCTGGGCAACGCAAGTTCCCCAGGAGATGGTCCTCCTTGGATACACCATATTAACCAACATCTGAGGCACAGTGGTGGTGACATAGCTCATGTCCACCAAAGAGAGGATACTGAGAAAGAAGTACATGGGTATGTGGAAGCATGAGTCCAGGTAGATCAGGGTGGTAATGAGTCCGTTGCCCAGAAGGGTGATGAGGTAGAAGAGGAGGAAGAAGGTGAAGAGGGCCATTCTGACCTGTGACTCACTGGAGAAGCCAAGGAGGATGAACTCGGACACAGAGCTGTGGTTTTCCTTGCCAAGTCTCTGCATGGCAATCTGCCTGTTAAGGAGAGATAAGGACTTCCCTATTCTGTCCGTGGCCCTGGGGAAGGGAGGATGGGATTGATAGAACCCAAACCACACACACAACAGCATGCACAGTAACTTGCGGATTAGATCAAACCTTTGTTGAGTTGGACAAAAAGGTCAAGGAAGCTAGGGCAGCCAGGGCACTGGGCAATAGGTCAGAAGATCTGGATCCATGCCTGTAATGCAGCATAGGATATCTGACTGCTCACAGGGGCTTCTCTGGAAACCACCCTCACCACAGAAGACAAGGCGTTAGGTAGCCATGTTTGTAGCACGGAACCCAGCCAACCCCTCGCCACTGCCGAATTCTATCAGGGCTGCACAATTTTCCCAGTCTGGAGTGAGCAGATGCCTCTGCTGAGAACTTAAAATTATGACACTGAAAGTCTATGTCAGTGGGCTGTAGGTATTGGGATATTGTCAAGTCAGAGCTAGTGTGGTGGCAACCCAAAATCACAGGGAGCTGCAGCTATAGAGGAGAGGAAACGTGGAGGTCTTACAGAGATGAAAAAAGACATGCTTGGGACAGAGGGGACAGACCTCACAGCCCTGAGCACCCAAGAGATGGGCCCCTCACTCCTGGCTAGCTCCTCCCAGTCCCCCTGAGACCTGTCTTGGGCCTTGTTTCTTATACCAGGTATAAGTGGAATTTTCTGTTGACTCCTTAAAATTACCACCCCATGACCACATTGTTCCATTGTTCCCTGAGTGTTCCAGTTGTCACTTACCCAGCTGTGTGACCTTGGGAGAATCCCTTCACCTCCCTTGGCCTCAGTCTCCCCATCTGTTTTAAATAGAGATAGAACATCTATGGCATAGGGCTATGGCAAGGAGCATATGAGATGCCGTATATCAAGACATCTTGCAAAATATAAAACACCAGGCAAATAAAAAGGTTTAGTACAGGTGGAATAAATTGGGAAATCAAAAGGGCTGGGGGCATACCAGGCTTGATCTTGGGTAACTCCATATCCCTCTCTGAGCTTCACAGCCCCATTTGTAATATGAGGCTGTTGGACTCAGTGGCCCCAAAGGACCCTTCCAGCTCTGATGTTCTTTTGTACCAGGAGCACCAGCTGCTGACCTGTGATTGCATCAAGTGCCTGAGAACCACAGGGAGGGCTGAGCAGAGCAGCCAGTGGAACAGGATTGTATTGACAGGAGATTCATTCCAGGAGCTGCAGACACACACCCAGAGCCTTGGAGAATATACAGAGCATAGACTCAGGCATCAACACACCTGAGCCTGGTAACCTCTTTACCTACTCCCGAAGCACTTAGCCTCTCAGAGTCCCAGGATCATTTGTAAAATGGGGATAATATCTCCATAGTGGAGATTGCATGAAATATGCCTGGTTTCTAGGAAAGTGCAATAAATGGAAGCAATTTAGATCATGGGAGGCTGAGTGGAAGGAGGCGTGGAGAGAGGAGAGAACAGGTACACTAGCATTCTTGAGCATCTGAAGTTACAGAGGACAAGGCTGAAAACCTGATCATGGGGACCAAGTGTCACAAGATGATGGTGGAGGAGTGGGAGATGGAAAAGCTGTCCCAGGCTGAATGAGCAAAAGAAGACGGTGTTAGATGTGTGTTCTGTGCTTTCAGAAATACCAATAATTGGATGAAGGAGAAAAATGTCCCAAAGAAGGAAGGTTTGTGAAAGTAAGAGGAGACTGAGGAAGCTCAGTCTCGGACATTGAGAGGGGAAACCTTCAAGAGACAAGGTCTGGTCAGCAGCGCACATGTCAAACCCTGGCACCAAGATGACAGGGCTGAGGAAGAGGAGGTGCCCACATACTCCTGTCCCCAAATCCCACATCCTCCTTTGCCCCAGTCCACACCCCAGACCTGGACTCTTGCACAGGACCCCTCCTGGTCTCCCCACCCCATCACCCACTAGCAGATACTGTCTCAGCAATCACACTCCTATGACTGGAATTCAAGGCCTTTCTCAATCTGGTTCTAACCATTTTTTTTTAATTTCCAAAATTAAAATGTGTACAAATGTTTTACATTAAATGGATCTCTTTTGTAATGCTGGAGTCCCAGCTAGGTGTGCCCATCACCCAAATAGTATTCACTGGACCCATTGGGTAGGTTTTTGCCCCCGCTCCGGTCCCTCCCCACCACTTGATTTCCACTGAGTTTTACCTGCCTCTGGGTAAAAATATGTGCTCATCAATTAGTTCCAACTTAATAATGAGTACATGTAGCGTTTGTTCCAGCCATTAAAAAAAGATGAATCAATACCTTTTACAACAATCCAGATGGAACTGTAGACCATTCTCCTCAGTGGTTCTAACCAATTTTCATATCCGTGTGATTCTCTAGTTATCTCAGTGAGACTTCTGAGCCATGATGCTAACACAAGACCACCAAAGGGATCCTAGTCTGGGCCGCTGGGGTCTCCTGCTGCTGAGCCACAGATCTTCCAGGCTAGCTGGCTTCCTCAGTGCCTGCCACGCATGCCACCACCTTCTGCTCCAGCTGTTCCTCTGCTGGGAATGCCTTCCCTAATCCATTACGCTTCCTACTTCCCATTCTTCCTCTTCCTCACCTGACCGGTCCAGCCTTGTTTATTTGATGTATTTATTGTCTTCCCCTCCAGGCTGAAGGTAGAGGCGTTTCTTTTACATCTCTCCACACTATCTAGCACAGAGATGGCATATGTCCAGGGCTTGACAAAACCCTGGGATCCCGATTGTGCCAGTGCTTGGGGAAAGACAGTAAGCGTCCACCCAGCCAGGAGAAAGTAGGGATGGGCAGGCTGCTTTTTCTAGTTTTCTGTGCTTTAAGATCCGAGTCTGCTCTACCTTCCACCAAGCTAATAAGGAGCAGGACCAGGACTAAAACCTGGGACTCTGGCTGCATAGCCTGCCAGGCTCTTGGCCGCTGCGCTTCTTGCCTCTGGCAAAGCCACGGTAAAGACGCAATTACATCCAGCCCTCACGCCGGCTAAGCTCCTATTGATACCCACCCTCCTTTCTCCACCTGCCAATGTTCCCCTGCCCCTTCCCAGCCTCTGGGCTTCTGGTAAGAAGAGAGAGGATGCCTCGTCAGGGCTCCCACGAGGGAGCCCCAGGACACTGTCTGGTGCGGAGGTGGGAAGGTACTCCTGAGAGGGACGAGTGCAAGTCTGGAAATGGCCATGAAAGTGCCCTGGACATCGATCGACTCCCACTCAGTAAGGGCAGTTCTCCCTCCTCTCCTCCCCAGTGAGGGGGGAGAGAAGACTGGGGTGGGGCTCCTTTGTCCATTGCTAGGGATGCCCAGGGAAGCAAACTTGCCCAGCCTCCCTTAGTGCCACCTGCACATGCTTGTCCTTCTGCTCGAGCGGCCTCCTTCCCTCCTGTGGCAGCATCGGGCTGTTTTCTCTCAGTTACATGCGGCGCAGGAGAAAGCAGTTCCTCCTCCTTAGCTCTGCAGGGGGGACGCTGTGCCTCTCTTAAGTGTCCTGGACCCGGAGCAGCCCTGGAGGGAGGGGCTTCCAGTTGGCAGATCCAAGGGTCCTCTGTGCATCAGAACAGGGCTGGAGAGTTTCCAGCCCCCGAAAAGCCCTGGGGATTCCCTGTCTGTGCTGGCAAATGCAGCACTAAGCCTCTGGGCAGGATGAGAGATACAGCCATAAAGTTTAATGCCTGTGAGATATTTTGGGCTTGGAGCTGGAGAACAGGGTATCCTTCTGAAGTTTCCATTGGGGACTGAAATTTTTTCCCACTGAGACTTGGGATGGGGCGATGGGGGGCGGATCCTGTGGCTGAGCTGCCACATCCCTGTGTGACCCGGTGATGATACTAATACGATGTGCTTTCTTTCCTTCCCAAGCATGTTTGTGCGTCTTTTACATCCTTGTGCATCTTATCCAAGGCTGCACACCTAATGGGGGAAAACTAAGGCTTGGATACAATACTCCCCCTTTACCCATGAGGGATGAGCAGAAAATGCAGGTTACCCACCACATAACAGAAACGCTGTGCCAGCGTGGAGTGCTCAGCAAAATTGTTACCAAGTAGACAAAACAGGTACGAGGATAACTGCTGGGGTGGGGGTGGAGGGGAGTGCCCAGCACTTTCTTGCCCTGAAACGGCCAGCTCAAACTGGCCCTGACTGTTTTAGAGCTGCTTCGGTTGTCCTTAGCTAATTATAATACTAGAATTCCCACCTAGTGGGAAATTGTAATATCATTAATGTAACACAGGTTGCATGACAGCCTATGATGATGGTACTGCGCTTGCATGATTTGTTTCACCGTGAACAAACAAAATTACAATGTAAAAACTTTGCATTACTCATTGGGAAGAGATTTAAAGCAACACCACAGTGGGCAGATGCCGATTTTGCATGTACGAAGCTCCTGTGAAAAACAATTCCTGTGCCTCCCAGGAGTCAGCGCCCTTGTAAGTAACCTCTAATAAACTCACCTAACTCTCAAGCTGGTCTTGTTTGAGTCATTCTTTGGCCTCTCGGTTTCCTCTTAGTTTGAGGGGTGGTTTTTCTATACTGTCCCCGCATTTTCCAAGGACAGGAATTTTTCCAGGAACGGGGATATGTTCCAAGATCCCCAGTGGTTGCCTGAAACCACAGATAGTACTGAACCCTGTGTGCACTATGTTTTTCCCTATGCATACATACGGATGAAAAAGTTTAATTTATAAATTAGGTATGGTAAGAGCTTAAAAATAATAACTAATAATAAAATAGAACAATTACAACAACGTACTATAATAAAAGTTATGTGAATATGGTCTCTCTCTCTCAAAATATCTTGTACTATACTCACCCTTCTTGTGATGATGCGAGATGATAAAATGCCTATGTGATGAGACAAAGTGAAGTGAATGACGTGGCCTTTGTGTTGTAGCCTTAGGCCACTATTGACCTTGAGCAAAAGTATCAGGATACCACACAGTGGATCTGATAACCAAGATGACTGCTAAGTTACTAAGTGGTGGGTAGCTCAT